TTCAAGTAAATGTTTAATACTTTATAGATATATTTGCACAAGCACTTACACTTACTTGGCATATGCTTTCTCTAAAAGTGCTACCCAGAATGCCCTTGGGCTCTGGCATCGTGAGAAGCAGAGATTATCATTGATACAGGGCAGCCGGTCGTCCACGCGCACCTCAATCCAGTGTCCATTCTGCCAGAAGCGGAAGAGGAATTCACCGCGGTAAGCAGAGTCACCCCATAAAGGCTGTTCTGGTGGAAATACCTGATAACAAACACATTCGGTTACACATAGCTGTGAAAGAAATACCTGTAGCTGTCTGTATTATATTTTATGTGTATTTCTAATGTGTGAAACATGAAGATTCAATATTTTGTACGTAAAAAAAAGTCTATATTTAGGTGTTTAAAGCCATACCATAAATTTTTTTCATTACAAAACTAAACAAAAGACAAAGGTAAATGACAGTGCAAAAAAAAAAAAACAGAAAGAAAAAGCAACAACCATGAATATTATACATTTTTACCATGATTTTACCAGTCTCTAAAATTTACCCAATCTGACATTCAAAAACAATAACTCTACCGATATTTTTATCGATATGTTATTATCGATATTTACTTCTTATTACTTCTCTCATCTGTAAGTCGCATTGGATGAAAGCATCTGCATATTGATTCAGTTTTGTAAATGTAAATATACCAATATATACTTATACATATTCTGACTGTTGGAGAAGTATTTGCAGAATCAAGGGTAATGTAGTGTTTTTAAAAGAAGATAAAATAATGATGGCTTTAATGATAAAAGACAGTAGCCGTGGATTTTTTATCCAGTTATGCTAAAATGTCTCAAACATTAAACCAGTGTTCACCTTGTCTAGAAGATGCTGGTTCTTGAGTAACATGGAACAGGCACAGAGCAGCCAGCAGTCTCCAAGAATGCCTTGCTTTGGGTGAGCCTCCAAAGGGTCATCAGGAAACAGCTGAGGCTGCTGGCAGATCTCCTGGAGATACAGTGAGCAATGCATTTGGTTTTATTATTTTTTTTTAATAATTAAAAATACAAAATGTGTTGTCCCATAGGCAGTAATGAAAATGAGCTAATGCATTGTTTTATTTAATGTAATATAAATGTTTTGTATATGTAATGAAAAAAAAACATTGTTACTTGTGGGCGGAGCCATGTGACATCATCCAACAACTTGGAGAGCGGCGTGGTGTAATCCCAAAAGAGTGATGGATCATCTGCTGGAAAATCCAGATCCACAAACATCTCATGATGCTCAGTGTCCGTCTCCATGGAAAGCAGACCTGCTACAAAATATGGTTATTGATAACAATCAAACCAGTCATGATGAGAGCATGATGTGCTGCATTTTAAACTTCTTTAAACTTCTGTAAGACACCTAAAAGACTGTCATATACAGTAGTGGAAATGGTTTGGTTGGCATTGCCATTTGGAGATTTATTTTTTTAATGACTCTACAAATTTTATTAAATATTTTTGGCCACTTATTTTAAATTTAAGAGAAGAAAAATACACAATCTTGGTTAAGGAATTTACCTGACTAAATTATTTTACATTAAAGGGATGCATTAGGGCTATATTTTATTAGGCAAAAACAAAAGGCTCACAAGAAAGACAATACATTGATAGTTACATTTGTATTTAAATTTTTAACCAAACACACACACACACACACACACACACACACACACACACGTGATGTGTGGATTTACATTAACTAGACAGAATAAAGAGTAGATAAAAAGGTTTTAGTAATTTAAAATAACGAGCATTTTGATAAAAAGGAGACAATAGTAAACTAACAGAACAGAAAGTATCAGAATCAATATGGTTATGTATTGCCCTTTATTGCTTTTGCATTTATTTACAGTTCTACTTTAATATTTTACTCAATTCTATTAAAAAGTGAAGATATTGATAGTTGATACAGTACAGAAAAGCTCATTTTATTAACGTTAGCTTCATTATTTTTGCTGATACTGATGAATGGTTAAACCTGAAAACTGTATTGTCCTAAATGACGAGTGTTGCTATAGTTATAACTTACACGTTACGAGAAGTGCTGTCAAAGACGGCTTATGTGGTGATGTCGACTCTTATTTGTTTTAGAGACAAGAATGTTGACATATCCAGGAACAGTAACGCTATCCATATTAATGATAATTCATTCCAACGTACAGTCAGATCAGCTGGTTTTCTAACCCGTTACACACAGCCGGCGATTTAATGGCATGGCTAGTTCGGAAGGCAAAATAAAATGCATCACAGTGAAGTAAAATCTGTCATACAGTCGTGTACCGTGACGTTCAGATACACTCAATGCATTCAAAAAAGTAAACACTCTGCGCCAGGATGATAGAGCCCATAACCGGAAGGACGCGCACGCCGTGGACAGCGCTGTCATCCGGGGCGGCGGTCGCTGCGACAGACGCGCCTCCGTGTGGAGCTCCCAAGAACATATTTTATTTTTTATCCATTTTTTTTTTCCATTTACTAAAAATCTAAATAAACAAAATTAAAAATGGTTAATATTATAATTAAAAATGCAAGGATTTTTACATTTTGTAAGTATAAGTAATGCAATCCGAACAATGTGAACTAGCCTAAAATGGCCAATAGGTGTCTCTGAGTACTTTGGAAATATAGAAACCAGTTAAGTGTGTTAATATTATAGTGCTATTTTTACAGATATTCATTCATTCATTTTTTTCCGGCTTAGTCCTTTATTAATCAGGGGTCACCACAGCGGAATGAACTGCCAGCATATGTTTTATACAGCGGATGCCTTTCCCGCTGCAACCCAGTACTGTGAAACATCCATACACACTCATTCAAACATATACACTAATTTAGCTTATTCAATTCACTTATACCGAATGTCTTCGGAATGATGGGGAAAACGGAGCACCCGGAGAAAACCCATGTCAACACGGGGAGAACATGCAAACCCCACACAGAAAAGCCAACTGGCCCAGCCGGCACTCGAACCAGCGACCATCTTGCTGTGAGGCAACAGTTCTAACCATTGAGCCATTGAAGACCTCTCATCCTCCATAGTCAGCAAGGGTTGTGAGACGTTCAAAGTCTATAAAACTAAAAACAACTGCATGGGTGGAGAAGAAATAAGCATTATTATCATTACAGATTTTTTCATTCGTTTATGATTGACAGTTATGCATTGCATTATTTTATATCAACACGCTGAAATCCAAACAATATTTTTATTGTGAGGGAAAGTAAACATGTCCAGAATCTGGATGCAGCCTTGATGATGCAAGCTGACATTGCATATCTCAGAGATGCAATGTGCCAGACACAATGCACTTAATGAAGCTAGTGACGTCACTGTGAGGGTTGGGGCTAGGTGTGCGCATAAAAAAAGCATTGCATGCAGCTCAGATTGCAACTGCACCAAGTCTGCATCCAGACCCCTCTTTTAAATGTACGTATAATAAATCAGGGTTTCTGCAGGTTAAGTTAAATTTAAGAATTTTTAAGACATTTTTAGGACAATTATGAATTAATTTTTAGACTTATACAGGACTAAATGCTAAGGATTTTTTTTTTCAAATATCCCAGTTGGAAAAGATTTTCACTTGCCCTATCAAAAATTATTTTAATTTAATAATACAATAGTAATAATTGAACAATATAAAAATTAGGTCAAGTCAGTATCCTTTGTAGTAAACAAATGGAGAACTTTTAAACAAATGTTACTGTAAGGAAAGTAATTAAATGCTATATTTAAATAAAAAGTTTAATTCATTTTTATATAAAAAATTAAGTACACACTGCAGAACTAACCGAACATGTCAGAGGAGGTTCTAACTGTCCTAGATTAAACATTACAGACATTGACAACTGTTCTTTCACATAATTACACAGAAACATTAACAACAGAGACATTTAATAAGTTTAAAGAATTCCACCCAAAGTTCACAAATTCCTCATCATTCTATCAATTCGCCCTTTTATGATCCCAATGAGCAATAAAAACATGATGCACTGGGGAAATGAAATGAAAGGTTATGGCTGTCATAAACTTGATGACTTTAGCAGTTTTCATGTATCCTGAATGTCCTGTTCAGAAGAGTTCATCATTAAGCCATCTTCAACCCCAACATCTGTTATCACCAAGCCTACTAAAGTAACTCAAAGTATTGTAAGCTTTATCAGTAAATAGTAACAGTGGGATTTTTTTTTAAAGTCTGCCGCTCTGAAGTTGCTAAAGATGTATTTGTAAATAAAATATAATGACCTGAATACAGCCTCACGTTATTACTCGATTGAATGTGCATTATCAGTGGTCATCAGCTGATAGATATAGTCCAGTAGGGGCCTTCTGTGCCTACTAGTTGTCTCAGAAGGCTGTTATCATCCATCCACTTGGTTAATCTTCTATACTAATAAAGAAGACTTCAGATCCAGATCTGTTTTACATTACTCTGATGGTTGGGTTGGGGTAGGGGTAGACATTAATAAAATAGGCTACAATTAATGCAAAATTTAATCAATAATATAAAAAAATTCTCAATTTTCGGCCGATGCCATATGTGATCTATAGCTGATTAATCATGGGGATGGAAGATAACAGCTTTCTGAGACTACCAGTAGGCGCAGAAGGCCTTTACTGGCCCATATCTATCAGTTGATAATCACTGATAACGCCCATTCAATTGAGTGATAACATTCAAATCGGCTGACATACACAAACATATTGGTTTATTTTAACCCAAATTCCAACCCCCTGCCAAAAATTTATATCAAAATCACCAAGCATTTATAATGGACTTGAGCTAATAAATGTTTCATATAGTTTGATGCTCAAACAGTATTCTGTGACTAGTAAAACTCAGAGACCAGCACTTATTCTAGTGGTTGTTTTTCTAGAAGTTATTATTTGTAGACACACCCAGTGAGTGAAGGTCAGCCTCCTTTATGCTGTATAAATAAACACCCTCAATATGTGAAGGAGAGTCTCTTCCACTGAAGACCTTCAATCTGAGGTAGGTTGACTTAACATTTAAAAATGTCTAGAGATTTTAAATGCATTCAGATTATAATTTGTGAATTATATTTATTGATATTTAAAAACATATTTCATACATAATATAATATTCAATTTCAATGTGTTTCTGACATTTAAAATTAACCTAATAAAAAATAGAGGTTATGTCAGGATTTAATTTATTTGTTTTATTATTATTTATTTTATAAATATCTTCTTAATGTGATATAATATCCTTAAAAACCCTTGATATGTTTTTGATTAATGTATATGCCAAATGCCACACAGTTTTAACCCTTGTGCATACATTTTAAATAAGTAAAAATGAAACAGATCCTTAAAGTTTGTCTGTACCTAAAACATCACAGAACTATACCATAGTTTAAACTTTTTTTTGTTTTCAGCAACAGTCCTAATAAAAAGTATTTAAAAGTTGCATAATGCCATTTCATTTATTTAAAAAAAACTGTTAATTTTGCAAATACTGGATGCAAAGCAGAACTAAACTATTCGTCTTAAATAATTTAATGTTTCAATCATTAGAAACATCATTAGAAGCATTATCAGCAGTCACAATAAATTGTCCACGTAAAAGTGTTAGTATATAGTTAAAGTCAGAATTAATAGCTCCCCTTTGATTTTTTTTTTTTTTTTGATTTTTTAAATATTTCCCAAATTATGTTTAACAGAGAAAAGAAAATTTTCACATTATGTCTGATAATATTTTTTCTTCTAGAGAAAGTCTTATTTGTTTTATTTCGGCTAGAAAAAAAGCAGTTTTTAATTTTTTTATGAACCATTTTATGGTCAAAATTATTATCCCCTTTAAGCTATATCTTTTTTTTGATAGTCTACAGCAGTGTTTCTCAACCTCAGTGGGGCGTGGAGTGTGTGGTCAAAAAAACAAGTTTAATTTTTTACTTATTTTGCTTATACCGGACTTTTATTTTGAAATGCACATTTATCGTTTGACATGTAAAATTTCATTTAATTATAGTAACAAAAGCGCAAATATAGTAATCAAAGCGCAAGTACAGTACGACCTCGAGTATGTAAAGTATGAATTTATATATATATTGATGACAAAAAAGGCTTAAAACTTCAGTGTGTCATATGTAGTGAGGTGCTCTCACAAGAGAGCATGAAATCTTCTAAATTAAAACGACATTTAGAAACCAAACATCCCAGTTGCAAGGACAAACCTGTGGACCGTTTTCAAAGACGACTCCAAAAGCTGAGGGCATCATATCTTCATGTTCAAAAGAAGTACAGGCACTCCACGCATATTACTGTGTAGCTCACTGTGTAGCAAAGGCCAACAAAGCCCACACAATAACAGAAGAGCAAATAACTGGTGATTATTATAAAAATGGTTATGATTATTTGAATCATTTAATTGTAATTTGCTGGTTTGTTCTGTTCAACAGCATCAGTGTTAATGTTTAACAGTTCAGTTTAGTTCATGGTAACTGAAACTTTCCTTACCCCAACCCCTGTTTACAGTTTTTGTAGTTTTTCCTCTGTAATATTTCTATAATTTGATACATTTTGTTAAATGACAGCAATAAAATACTGTTTATTTGTAAATCTTGGTGACTTTCTTATGCTTTATCTGTCACGATTGTGTACTGTATTTTAACAAATAAAGACAAAATTAATTATAATTCCTACAATTATATTATAGTTCCTATAAATTTGGGCTGCGGCTTAATGACCATGTAAAAATGTGGGTCCCACAGGGCCAAACCTGTTGAAAACCACTGGTCTACAAAACAAACCATCAATATCTTGCCTAATTACCCTAACCTGCCTAGTTAACCTAATTAACCTAGTTGAGCCTTTAAATGTCACTTTAAGCTGTATAGAAGTGTCATGAAAAATATCTAGTCAAATATTATCAACTGTCATCATGGCAGTGACAAAATAAATCAGTTATTAGAGATGAGTTATTAAAACTATTATGTTTAGAAATGTGTTGAAAAAAATCTGCTCTCCGTTAAACAGATATTGGAGAAAAACAGGGGCAAATATTTCAAGGGGACTAATAATTCTGACTTCAACAGCATAACACTAAAATGTCCATAATGAAGCATAGGGGTTAAGAGCTTAATATTGTGTAATAAAGGTGTATATATTGTAAAACCAGCTTTTAAAACTCAACTTTTTAAAACTCTAATTTACATTTTATCTTCATTAAATTGCCATCAGGTGGGCGAGGCAGTGGCCCAGTAGGTAGTGCTGTCGCCTCACAGCAAGAAGGTTGCTGGGTCGCTGGTTCGAGCCTCGGCTCAGTTGGCGTTTCTGTGTGGAGTTTGCATGTTCTGTCAGATGCTCTGTTTGCCCCACAGTCTAAATGTGAATTGGGAAAACTAAATTGTCCGTAGTGTATGAGTGTGTGTGAATGTGTGTGTGGATGTTTCCCAGAGATGGGTTGCAGCTGGAAGGGCATCCACTGCGTAAAAATGTGCTGGATAAGTTGGCGGTTTATTCCGCTGTGGCAACCCCGGATTAATAAAGGGACTAAGCCGACAAGAAAATAAATGAATGAATGAATAAATTGCCATCAGCTAAACTTGTATCTGTGTGATTTGTTTTTCACAAAGGTTTTTTGCCATGGCTGCCATGAGACTCTTGCTGCTCTTCTGTCTCGTCTTGGCGAGCGTCTCTTCTGTGAGAAAAATCAATAATATTGACGAACTGAAAAACATCACGTATGCCAAGTCTGCGCCACGTCATGGGCTCCAGCTGCTGTTCTGGTTTGCCCAAAAAGTCCTGAATGTCGACCAGAACAACAATCTCATCCTTGATTCAAATTTTGATCCCACTAGAGACGACTTCGGATTCCACAAGTATGAAAATATCGAGCATATTCTCCCCTCGTTGGCTTCATGGGAGAGTTACTATTCAGTCGGCAATTTAAAATCTCCCGCAGCCAATGCATTACCAGCATACGTCCGAAAGTACTACAGAAACACCAATGTGCCTGAAAGAAACATGGACCGACTCATCGTCTCAGTGAAACAAAATAAACCAAACAAGATTCTCAAGGTGTTTATTACGGCTCATAACCTTCACAAGAGTGATTTTAATCCTTCTGACACTTATGAGATTGATCCTGCACTGCTCTTGAAGATCGGAGACCCTCATAACTGCACTCTAGACGAGAACAATAAGTATGATATTTACTCAATCCCACGTGATACAGAAGACGTAGTCCATAACAGATGTCTTAAGTTTCTGAAAGACGCAGGATACAGCACCAGTGACTGTAAATACAGTCAGATCAGTCACCGAAAGAAACGCTCACCGTATTTACAATGCAATACATATGAAGGAATCAAGCTAGACATAAAAGCAACTGCTGAAGGTACCTCGAAACTCATATGGGAGATTCCAACAAATATATTGGAAAACTCAAAGTATGTGCACATTGAAATTTGCCAGAACATTTATTCCACTGAAACAAACGAATATCATACATATGTCCAAAAACGGGTGACTATTTACGAGTCTTCTGGGGCTTTAGATACTCCTGTACCCCTGAATAATGGTCTCCAACCTCGACTGCGACTGTACCCATCCGTTTTTGATTATCAGTTTACCAACCCTTATATCTGGTATGGCCCAGAGTTTAATCAAGCTAACGGACTGTTGCCCACAGTTATAAAGGGGTATGACGCAAGTCTACAGCTCCACGTTATAGACGGAAAAGCCTATGCTCGACTCTACATCAAGAAAACTTTCAGGAACTGGATGTCTACATTTACTAAATCATGGGTGGGCTTTTACAAGAGTTCACTAGATAACAATGATGACTATTTAAAATACCAATATGCTGATAGGTTTTCAAAGATTGAAAACTACATTGTACACAAATATGATATTTACCAGTACACTCCCAATTTGCCCATTGCTCCAGGACTTCAAATCCGCTTCATGCTGGACAAAAAATACGACAAAGTTTTAGCACAAACTACACCCTGGGAGGGCGTTGAAACCCTGACAATGTTGCCATCAGATTGTGCTGCAATAAATCCTGATCTTCTGCCTGAACTGTTATCAATTGGTCGCGAGCTATTCTATGGTCCAAGTTTGGATGATGCTGGTCTGCAGCTCTTTAGCAAAGACAGTAAAGCTTGTGCTCGGCTTTTTATCAAGAAGACCTTCGCAGACTGGAAAGATGCCTTCTACTACTCATGGGTTGGGTTTTACACAAGTTCAAAAGATAAAAAGGATGAGTATCAAACATATCAGTATGTCAAAAAGTTTGAAAAGATGGAGGAAGATGATGAGAGTTATGATGTTTATGAGTACAAATCCAGCCTGGACATTGTTCCAGGAGTGCAAATCCGTTTCATGTTGGACAAAAGTTCTGAAAAAGTATTAGTGCAAACTAAACCCTGGAAAAGTGGTTAAAACGTGGTTTTAACAAAGCATAAAAGCTCAAAGCTGGAGAATGTTTCAAATTTCACTTCAATTTTTCTGAGAATTTACATATAGATTAATATCAGTTACAATCTGTTAAGAATGATAGTTCATACATTGTTCAGAACATGGTAATCACAGATCTCTGAATTACCTATTTGTCATTAACATTACAATGGGGTATATGCCGAAGCATGCTAATAGGACTTTTAATTTGCCTGTAACCTGGGTTAAGCGCTTCCGGCGAACTGCATGCCAATGCAAAATACGGTGCGTTTAAGGTCTGTTTTCTTTAAAAATCAGCAATCTCCACTGGCTGAGTGACATTCGATATAAAGTGGGTCTCAGGTTGTACAAGAAGCACAACATTAAATTACATGTTACCCCGCCATGTCTTTTTAATATGAGCGTTTATTTTACCCCAGTATATTCAATGGAGCTTCTGCGCTAGCCTGCCGATTCTGACGGGCGCGTGCGATTAAACGGCTTTTTGTCTTGTTTTACGCTTGAGCAACTTAATGAATGCCAAAGTTTATTTAACTGAATGTATTTTAATGCCATTTCAACATCGATGCTGTAAAAGGAACTGTATAAAATGGAAAAAAAGTTCACAATAACAGGTCACTGGAAGTTTATCAGTATGGGAAGAACACTAGCTCGGCATATACCCTATTATTTCAGATAGAAAAGTTCAATTTTGACTACCTACTAATATCAATTTCATTATAAAATATACTCTGTTTGCTGTATACTTCTTGTTGTAACCTCTATTAAAATGCATCAGATGAAAGTGAGTTGTGTCATTTCTTAATATTACACTAAACAAGCTAATTAAAACTGAATAACCATAGTCTTCTTTCTCTACCATAAACGTACAGTAATAAACACAGTAATAAACTCTACTGTTAAAATGAAGGATTGCTTTATAGTGACCTTTAACAGGTGTTTTGACTCTTTTGTGAATTTAGCTTTTGTTGTGTTTGAAAGTTGAGTGAAATTAAATTTAATAGAATGTAAATTATTGATTTATTTAGGTGAATACTGTCTAAATAACATTAACATTTATTATTATTATTATTTATATTATTATTACTAATTATATTATTGTTACTATTATTAAAAATTCAATAATCCTGACAGATAATAGTACACTTATTGTATTTTTAACAAAACCCCAACCAGCTGCTTACCAGTCAGTTTGCTGACTTTGGTTATGTTCACTTTAGCCCATGAAGAATGAAATAAATAATGAGCTGTTCCCAACTTTAACTAAAAAGCACAGCTTCTTAAAATGACCAAAAATGAGAAATGTGCTACTGCCAATAGCAGTTACAAATAGCATTATATTGAGCATTTTAAATGATAACATCAGCACAAATACCTTTTTGGAGGATACATCTGTTTCCTGATTTCCTTGACTAAAATTATAATAATGCATTTATGCACACAATAATACAAAAAGAGCCCTAGAAGTGTTTAAAAACTCAATAAAAAATCTGATTAACGAATTACGTATAATTTTTAACAGCTAATCTACAGCATGTGTCCCAATAAGAATTGCTTCGCTATTATTAAAATTGAATATTAACAGATTCGAAAGTGTCGAGTTTTCTTATACAAGTGACATGCTTTGATAAGAAATAAAATACAAAGTTTATAAATTAATGTTCTGAGATCCTTAATTTGCACAGTGAGGAAACAAATAATACCTTTAAATTTTAATTTGGGGAAAATAGATTGTAATAAATGTCTAATTTTGAGACTAAATCACAACAAATATTTTGTGAAGTAGTGATTCAAAAAGGTCTTAAATGTTTTTTTTGCTCTTTTACAAAGTGTTGATTTTGTTTTTTGAGGAATTAAAAAAATGCTTTCATAATTGGTGGTTTAAAAAACATTTTATTATTATTATTTTTTGGTTTACATAATTTACATTGTTACAAGATCTGTCTTCACAGTCTAACACAGGGGTGTCATACTCAGTTCCTGGAGGCCACAGCCCTGCACAGTTTAGATCTAACCCTGCTTCAATGTACTTAATTGGAGGTTTAAAACTAGCCTGAAGGACTCAATTACATAGATCAGATGTGAATTAGGGTTAAAGCTAAACTGTTCAGAGCTGTGGCCCTCCAGGAACTGAGTTTGAAACCTGTGGTCTAGCACAAAGGGCATCTGTGCACCTACAGTAGCACCTGCCTTCCAATATACAACATGTGTTATGATTGTGTCAGTTATCCTAATGCGTTGTGACTGATTAACAGCTTAGGGCTCACACCAAACATGTATTTGCTTCTAAAAACACAAAACAAAATGCCTATGAATGGTTTGGAAAAAAGTGCAACATAAAGCAACAAGGGTATCCGAACACAGCCACCTGTAAACAAAAACTTTAAATGTTTGAACAACCTCCGAGTTCTTCTGATTGGTTTGGAAATGTCAACTGAAATATGGTACTACTCACTACTCCCATTCATACTGCATAGAAAGTACTTTTCTAATGGTCGTATAGTAAATTCAGATTCAAAAGTAGTACCTACTGAAGTAGTAGGCACATCCAAACCTTAGACCAAAACTTATCACAGACATCTCACCCAGCAAAAATTCTAGCTCAAGCTAGCATGATCCTCGAGAACCTCGCAGGCATCCATGCCTCTCTATATATTAAAAAGTGAGTTGATAAGTGTACGTGTTGTATATCCAGCAGCTCTTAGCCCATCAGCCATGTGTTATAGATCAACAAACATGATCATTATTAAGATATATACACAACAAATTGCATGTCCTTACACATAATTGGAAATTGAAGTATTAAATATTTCACAATATAATCAATTTGAGCAGGGGATATTGGTCAGGAGTATCGTGCAGAACTTTGAAATGTACAGGCATTGCAAGACATAACAGTTTGATGATATTATTGTTATTTTACCCCTATTTTTGAAGGCCAGCCAATGCCAAACAACTAGCACCAATGAAACCAAACTCTGTAGTTGCCTTGCGTTGGATTGTGTCTGAAACAAAAATCTGCTCATTAACACATCAAACGGATGAAAGCCGACTGAAATGAGAGCTACGTTCTGCGCCTGCGAAAGAGGATATGTCTTTCCGCTCCGCAAGGGCTTTATCTGTTTTCTCATTCCACAAAAGGAAATCCAACTTCAGACGTGCACAAAGTGTAAACAAAGCAGCATTTAGTATTATCACAGTAATTGTAACTCACCATGGAAGGATTCACTTGTGCAAATATGTCTGATAATCTAATAATCCATGTTGTTTATCCACATGCCTCTTAGGCTTGAAATATTTACTTGCTACGTCACTTTATTACATCACACTCGTGGTCTGATTTATTGCTAAATAAAACAGTTAGAGCAGTTTCTTCAGACGACATCGGTTCTACACGCTGCATCGGGCCAATGAGCTCTGTAGTTAATCTGATGAGAGTGGATGTGTAGAAACACCAAACCAACTCATCTGAAAGCTTGATGAGTCCCGACCCTTAAACATTCCACACTAAGATTAAAAAAATTAAAAGCATAACAGGAATCCTTTAACGCAAAGTCCAATACTCTAGTCCGCATTCAGAGTGAAGTCTTTACAAACTAAATCAACGCCAGTTCCCTGCAATTACCTTTTGTTTATGATAATCACTAATGCCTGGTAGTGGTGCACCGGACTTGTTGAGACAAAGAGCACAAAGCAATTTGAAGCTACAATTAATACAGGCTTCTCAAAGTTAAACAACAGAAGACAAGAAAAAAGAATTTTTAAACTCATGAGTACCAATTTATGCTGGCATTCAGAAAACAGGAAGATTTTGGCATGGATTCAATCTTCCTTGCACTGTACTGATGGTTCAGGCTTCTGGTGGTGTAATGGTGTAGAGCAGGGGTCACCAATCCTGGTCCTGGAGGGCCGGTGTCCATACAAGGTTTAGCTCCAACTTGCCTCAACACACCTGCCTGGATGTTTCAAGTATACCTAGTAAGACCTTGATTAGCTTGTTCAGGTGTGTTTAATTAGGGTTGGAGCTAAAATCTGCAGGACACCGGCCCTCCAGGAACAAGTTTGGTGACCACAGGTGTAGAGGAATATTGTACTGTTGCCATCCTGTGCCCCAACTTTCAGCAGAATAACACACCATGCACAAAGCTCAAATGATCTCACACAAGTTGTTTCATGAACATGAGTTTTAAGCATCTTGCTGAATCAATACCACAAATAATTAAGGTTGTTCTGAAAGTATTAGTACAAGCAAGGCGTATACAGTATATAATAACTGAGTGATGAATGTACTGTTTTCTCTTTCTGAAAGAAACGTTTCAGGATGTTAATAACAGAATATTCTTTAGTGAGAGTTTAGTGTGAGGTCTTCACAGCTTCTGTGCAGGCCCTGGATCATACGTGGTGGTCATTATTACCCTGTCAGATTTTTTAAGGGGTAAAACCTGCTTACTAGACAAATGCCTCAGAGATCATTGAGTGCAGAAGATTTCTATGAACTTTATAAAGTTCCTCTTTAATAATAAAAAGGATGTTGGATATTTTTAATGAAAGTGCTGACAACATCTCTCCAGTTTGGATTTGTCATTCTCTAGGTTCAATTTCACCTTTTAAAGATATGTAACATCTGGGGAATGGCCAGTCAGATTTTGATTAATGGCCAATATTTGTTCTCCCATGTTCCCTTGTTGACATTAAAACAATGACAAAGACAGCTGTTGCAGAACCTTTGCTCACAGATTCACTGTTTCAGAATGTCAATGAACAATAATAGTACGATAAACCGGTGGAAATGAAAGTAAGGGTTAAGGCTCATGAAAATGATGACTTTAGCGGTTCTCATGAATACTGAAAGCCCAGAGTTCAGAATAACAAGTTCATCATCAAGCCTTATCTTCCCACTTTCTGTTATTTTCTACAAGATTTCAAGCATTATCTTAATTATGGTAACAGTGGAATAATACACAAGTGTGCGTCACTGAAGTTGCATTTATTTTAGTCTGCATTTAAAGGTTAAACAAAACTATAATAATGCACACAATCAAAATGCAATGCAGGCGACTATGGCTCAGTGGTTAGCACTTTCGCCTCACTGCAAGAAGATCCCCGGTTCGAGCCTTGGCTGTGGCATTTGGCGTTTATGTATGAAGTTTGCATTTTCTCCCCATGTTGGCGTGGGTTTTCTCCATGTGCTTCGGTTTCTCCCACAGTCCAAAGACATGCTCTATAGGTAAATTGAGTAAACTAAAATGTCCTTAGTGTATGTGTGTGAATGAGTGTGTATGGATGTTTTCCAGTGCTGGGTTGCAGCTGGAAGGGCATCCGCTGTGTAAAACATACGCTGGGTAAGTTGGCAGTTCATTCTGCTGTGGTGAACCCTGATGAACAAAGAGGCTAAGCTGAAGGAAAATGAATGAATAATGCAATACAATAAAATATTATGACTGAATGTTACCCCAACATATAATTATTTAAATAATGAGATGAGTGAATTTCGATACGTTCATTTGACTGGCTTTAATTTAGAGCTTTTTTGCAGAAATACTTCTACAAATGTTTACAGTCCGTTAAGGACTATTGAAAAGGACCAGGAAATAACACTGATGCTCAAGCATTGTGCTGAAAATGATCTTTGTTTATACAGACTCAGTCTGATTTTACTGTGTGATGTGTACATATATACATGTAAATATACACATTTATTCTATGGTCGGTTACATTTTATTATTCTTATTGGCTGGAGGGTGTGTAAAAACGGCCATTAATCAACATGCATATGGCTGTCCATTCCCAAATGTTACATATCTATGATGTGAGGTGAAATTGAACATGACCTGAAGAGTGACATCCAAACAGGAGAGATGTTGTCAGTAGTTTCATAAAAACATCCAACATTCTTGTTATTATTAAAGAGGAACTCTTGTTCTTCTTTCATAAACAAAGAGCAGTATGTGAACAGTATTACCCTGTCAGATTTATTAAGTAACATAATGAGCCCATGCATGATGCGGAGCTTGCACAGAAGCTGTGAAGACCTCACACTGAACTCTGAGTAAGAATATTCTGTTATTAACAACCTGACAGAATTCCTTCAGAAAGAGAAACATGCTGGATATTCACAACACTCTCAGAAATAAAGGTACACAAGCTGTCACTGGGGTGGTACCTTTTCAAAAGGTTTGTACTTAAAGGGTCCATGTTGGTACCTCAAAAGTACATATTATTAGTACCTACAAATTTTAACGGGAAAACTTTTCTACATTTTAGGTACTATTATGTACCCTTGAGGTATTAATATGGACATTTTAGGTACAAATTTTTACCTTTTGAAAAGGTACCACCCCAGTGACAGCTTGCGTACCTTTATTTATGAGAGTGTACTAATGATGTACACCATACTTGATTGACCCCATTAAAACCTTCACAACTTCCTCAATCCATTGTGACATTAATTCAATAAAGATTTTGAGATTTAGGTCATATTGACACGATTAGATGACTCAGTACCTGGACATATGTATCCCCTATTCCTTCACATCCCAATATAAAGACAGTTGGATGTTTTAAATATTTAGGAACATTTATAGATAGTAAATTGACTGAGTGTTTTTTTTTTTTTTTCTTTAAAGCAATGCAGAGATTATATCGTCTTAAGTTACAACAATTTGGCATGTGTCAAGCTATTCTGGAAATGGTATACAAGAATTCGGTCAGAAGTGTTGTGAGTTTTAACATGATTGTATGGTATGGATTGTTGCCAGTAAAAGAAAAGCAAAAACTTTGTCAAGTATTAAAAATTTCCAGTGCGATTCTGGCAAAAGCACAAAAACAACTAAATTAAATGTATTTAATGAGAACTAAACAGAAAGCACATGTCATTATTGAAGATTGTTCCTATCACTTAAATAAAAACCTTCAGCTTTTGCCATGAAAAAGATTTTTTAGGCAACTTCAAAGTAAAGACAAATGTAAATCTAATGTATTATCTGACAACTGACATTATAATTTTAAATATTGGATTTAAGTAGGGTTAATCAAGTTTTTAATGTGATTTATGTGATGATGTTAAATGTATTTGTGTTGCTTGTTTTTTGTAATAGAAGTGATTTGAATACAGATGTAATTATGTGGTGAAGCCAAAGATAAATTTCCACTTGTGGATAATAGAGGAAGTACAAAACATGGAAGTCATTTAAGTTTATTGAATTCATGGTCTCAAGACCCCAATGTCTACGGCTGCATTTGGAACATAATAAAAGTAAATACATTAATACATAAATAAACAGATTAATGCTTAATGACCATAGGGCTTTTTAATTTGAGTGTTGATATGGTGTACAGTATATATATATATATATATATATACAGTATATAGCAATATTGCACAAATATTGTTAGCCAATAAAGTTCACCAGACATACTGTAAACACTCTTAGAAACAGAACTACAAACTAAAGAGGGATTTATTGGATTTATTATTACTAAGAATAAATTGTTAGTAAAATAAATGAGTTATAGGACCTGTTTTGGGTGTGTATTGGCTACAGAAAGATGAGCATATACTGCCACCTTCTGTCCACAGTCACAAACTTTTAGATCTGCATTTTAAGGAAATGTTGTCAGTGCTTCCATACCCAGTACCGCTTTAAAATGGTTTTAGACCGCAGTTTGATGAGTAGTAAACATTGGAAATGCTTTAAAGTAAAGGATCTTTATTGGCCTCAGTACTTAAAAAAAGAAAATATGCCCGCATGGAAATGATTCATTCAACAAAAGGTTGTTTATACAGTCGTTAAAAATGAGTCTTCAGATTGTTTATGTTCTTGACACCATGAAAAAATGGTACTTTAACGAACTTTTAATTGAATGGTTTACTTAGATACACTGTAAAACCCAAAATGTTAAGGCAATTCAAATCATTTAAAGAAATCGACTGCAACAAACCATTTTAGTAAAAAAAAAAAAAAAAATCCTAATGAGTACTGTAAACTTAACCCATTTGAGTAAATGAAGCAATTTGAACACAGTAAAACCCAATAAATGAAAAGAACTCAAACCAACTAGTGACTGTAAAACTTAACAAGTAAAGGCAACTCAAACTGTTTGAGGAAACAAATTGCTACAAACCATTTAAGTTAAAAACTAATCCATATGAGTACTGTGAACTTACTTCATTTAAGTTCAAGTAATAAAGTATTTACCTTCAACACTGTCTTCAAAACTTTTAAATAAGTAGAATTAACTTTCAGTCAATTTTGAGTTAACTTCACTCATTTCATTTGATGAAGTTGACTGTTGGGTTTTACAGTGTACAAAAGCAGCTCTTTAATGGGAACTTTAAAAACACCTAATCTTTATTTTGAAAAGCGCAGCATTAATTACTAATTTTGTTGCCAAAACAAAACAAAGAGACACATTATTGCTGTAAAAACAATTTATTTATATAATAATAATGATACAAATGTGCAGAGTTCAAAAATCACGATCAATTCAGGATAAACATTCATTGTTGCTGTCAATACTATCTTAATTTACATTACTATAAAAATCAATTCTAGCCAATCACTGATGGTTTGTTCTGTAAGATTTGACGGTCCACATTAGGCCGACTTATTTTTCATCCTGCAAAATACAAAATGAAACTCTTATAAGAGAATTTTCTCAAAAACATCAAGTCAGTCATATTAAGCTCTATATTGAGGATAGGTGTTATGCACAGGTATGTAAGTGTGTGCACCGCTGAACTCACTGGATGTGTGAAATGGCTTTCTGAACCCACGGGTCATCAGGATTAGCGCAGATTTGTCTGTTCTTTATTGTAGTAAAACTGTAATAAAGAAAGAGAATGTTCTAGTTTATATATTACACATACAAATTGTTCATTGGAACTGCATATAAGAAATCATAATATATGAGATATTGTTTTTGGTAACAGTTCACCTGGAAAATAAAAGAGTGTGTTTACATGCACATTGTGAACACTCATTTATTGAAGGTCATAAATTGATTATCACAGCTTTGCACTTATGCTAATTTCATTTATTAAAGTGTGCATGTGTTCTTCTTACTGTGATTTAAGTAGTCTACAAAAAGCATACACTCTAAAAATGCTGGGTTGTTGAAACCCAACATTGGTTCAAATATGGACAACCCCAATCGTTGGCTTCAAAAGTGTAAATTAAATTTAATTGTTAAAATACCAAGTTTACGTTTCCATATATTTGGCCTAAAACTGGGTTACAATAGCCCAGCATTCAGAGTGTACCAAAAGAAATATAGACTATTTCCTGATCCCAAAGAATGATGTCATTCTCATCTCTCACAGCAGTTAAAATCAAACTACTACATGTGAGCAGTAAGTTTCCCCTTCACATTTTGCATTAACCTTTGCTTTTAAATGTTTTAAGATGACTATCAACATAAACTAAATACCTAAGTTAGATAACAAAAAAATTATGTTTTGACATGACTACGAGGAAATTAACTAATTTTTAATGTTTAATTGCATTAAGCTACTGGGTAATGGACAATGGGTTATTTCAAAGAGTTATTTTTTGTCAATTAATGGGTTTTAAGGGTATAAAATGTACAGTACATCGCTAAATTATGTAAATGTTTTGAGTTTGAAAGAGATGGGTTAAGCAGAGGAGGAGCAAACATAAAAAAACAACATGTAAATAAATATTAGTTGTTAGAAGAAGACAATTCATAGAGTATATAAGGGCTGCAAGATATTGGAAAAATCTGACATCGCACTATTTTACTTTTCTGCGATATATATTGCGATATTATGCATCTAAACAATTTCACTAAATGAGTGAATAGCACAATGGAAAGAATTTATAGTCACCTATTTTTTTAAGGCTGACTTTCTGCTATTGGCCAACCATTAACTATGATTTTGCTTCAAGAAACTCCTAATTTGTTCCTTAATATTCAATATTAAAATAGCTTAGGTATCGGGTTGTGTTTTGTAATTGTTAAAATTACGCTGCAAAATTTTTCATGTGTTAATAATTCAACACCGTTATTCTTTATTAAACTAAAATCTCTCACAGGCCTCAAAAACATGCAAGTGATGCAATTTCACTCCATTGTGTTTAAAATCTGCAATAATTCCACAAAAGCTCGTGTTCTGAACTGTGACTCTAGCTCAGATATAATCCTAACTCAACATTTCATATCTATATATATTTATTATCTACACTGTAAAACCCAAAGAGTAAAGGTAACTCAAACCATTTGAGGAAACCGATTGCAACAAACCATTTAAGTTCAAAAACCAACCCAAATGAGTACTGTGAACTTAATCCAATTGAGTAAACAAAGCCATTTGAGCACAGTAAAACCCAATAAATGAAGAGAACTCAAACCAACTGAGAACTATAAAACCCAATAAGTTAAGGTAACTCAAACCGCTTGAGGAAATCGATTGCTACAAACCAATTGAGTAAAAAAAACTAATCTTTATGAGTACTGTGAACTTAAATTGAAGTATCTTTAACTATTCTATCTATCTATCTATCTATCTATCTATCTATCTATCTATCTATCTATCTATCTATCTATCTATCTATCTATCTATCTATCTATCTATCTATCTATCTATCTATCTATCTGTCTGTCTGTCTGTCTGTCTGTCTGTCTGTCTGTCTGTCTGTGTCTGTCTGTCTGTCTGTCTGTCTGTCTGTCTATCTATCTATCTATCAGTATTATAGATTATTATAGTATATGTATAGCCAAATAAATATAAATATACATATATTATAATAATCTATAATATGAATGTATATGATGTATACAAATGTATGTAAATGTATAATAGTCACACAGTGTATAATAGGCACACTCCAATATCTTACATAATTACATAAACTGTGCTTTTAATTTGTGCTTTTAATTTGTGCTTTTGCTTTGTTTTCTCATGTTTATTGTTAAACCTGCTGTATGTAATTTGTCTGTTGAAGAGCATAACAAAATTATTTTAAAAGAGGTTTTAGTGAGTTTTCAGCATATTAGTTTGCGTGAATACGTGCTCTCTTTAACTCATTTTCAATAGTTCTAAAAGCAGTTTCAGTTCCTTTGACTTTCACTGTATTTTTTTGTCCACACAATATAAGTCAAAGGGAAGTGAGTCTATTCCTCTGTTGTTACTCACATGACAGCCTTGATATTGCAGGCCTTAGTGGTGTCCTGCAAGGTGTAGTCCATCAGTCGGTTGAGAGGCAGAGAATGTATTGAATACATGGTACAGCACCTCATGGGACCTTAACACACAGCAGAACAGAGTTTGAGTACATCTGACCAACTATCTGAGCAAAAGCTTATTTGTTGAAACAAAGATTCATTCATCTACAGGTCTTCCATTGTCCTGGTGGTAAACCAGGCAGTGTATACTATGACTATTTTAGGGTTTGTGAGTCATTGTTCCTTTAATTTAAGCCAAACTAAGTCTTTGAATCTCTATAACATACATACAACAAGTAATCATAAATTATAATGAAGCTAAATCATTTCATCCCCCCAAAAATAATAGATAGATACATAGATAGATTAATTAATTTAATTAATAAACTTTATTTTATATAATTCATTATTTGTTTTTTAAATTACTTTTATTTTAAATAAATTTTTAAATTATTTAATTCTAATTATTTAAATTATTTAATTATTTAAATATTAAACATCATTAAACATCAACCAGACAGTGACTATTTTTGGGTTTGTGAGTCATTGTTCCTCTATTTTAAACCAAACTTTAAATCTCCATAAATAACACATAACATAACATGAATAAAAATAATGCTCAATAATTTTTCCCTAAAAAATAATTAGAGGTAGATAGATAGATAAAGTTATTTATTTAACTTTATTTTGTATAATTAATTAAATTAAATTAATTAAATTTTATATAATTATTTTAATTATTTAATTATAATTATTTAAATTATAATTACTTTATTTAATTATAATTATTTTAATTATTTATTTATTTATAATTGTTTTAATTAAAATAACTTTATTTAATTATAATTATTTAAATTATTTAATTATAATTATTTTATTTAATTATAATTATTTTATTTAATTAAATAAATGTTTAACATTATTTTAAAACAATAACCACACCAGAGATTTGTAAGAACATGCACATAAAAATTAAATGTGCATAAAAATTAAATTTGTGCTTCTCACAGAATTTCCTAAAACCTGTACAGACAATTACAAAGAAACAGCCGACATGTCGAATTAAACAACAATCTTTGAAGAAAAAGTGAAATTGTGGTTTCTCAAACACTCCAAATCATTCTTGTTTGTTAACATCTTCGAAAACTGATTATAATAATCATTTAATAAACCCAATGTGATGCACATTTTACATCATACAAACAAAGAAACAACCAATGTGCACAAACATCTTAGCATACTTTTTTCTATGCTATTGACATCTAGTTGTTTGTACTATTACAGAAATCATTTATATATGACTGATAAACATCCATTGCATATTAAAAATAAAAATTAAGAAATCTATAATAGATTTAGTGTAGCTATAATTAAATCCATATTAGACAATAATAAAAGAATTTAAATGCTTAATTGATAAAACTGTAATAAAAAAAAAAAAAACTAACTATATTAAGTATTTTTTTCTTCATTCCACTACACTGAAAAAAAAATTATTCATTGGATTTGCCTAAAAAGTTTTAAGGTATAGTTTGCAAGAAATTCATATGGGCTGAATTTAAACAAACAAATGAAATGTAATAATGTTCAGCTTAATTTGTTCAATAAAATTCAGTAAATCCAATTAATCATTTTTGCGGTGTACATAAATTCATCATGCTGCTTTGACTAAAGTCATCAAAGGAATTGCAAAATCTCTGATCATCAAGTATGACAGCATTCAACTAGTGATCCAGTTTCTATCCATTTACAAAGGCCTGTGGTTACATTTCAAGAGCAGCTTTGTGAACTCAAAGAACAGAGAAAACACTTGAGTGTGAGATAAAAGTCAGGTTTACTTACTGCTTTGACTCAGGTTGACACAGACACACAGCAGCAGAAGCAGCGCAGATGACGTCAGGACCAGTTTGCTCATCATGGGATGGAAATAAGACACTTTCGAGTCCAAAAAGACTAATAAAATTGATATAAATATTTAACAAAGTTGCACGAACAGCAGCAGTGTTGAGGATGTTGGAGAAGAGGTTTGCTCAGTCCACCTTATCTGGCATCCCTAGAAATCGACAATTATATAGCAGTTGTGCGGGGAATTTGCGGACCACATGCCACTATCACTGAACGTGGAAGACGGGGGAAAATCACGCGGAAATATTACTAGGTCAAATAGCTTTGTGTAAAATATAAGTGGGATATTCCACATCTATAATTATCTTACTACTCTTTGAAGATTTCTATGAATTTCCGACAGGATCAATGTAATTTTTTAAATAAATAATTAGTGCCATCAATTAAATTAATGGTTTATACATTAAACATAATCAGCACTCTTAGAAATAAAGGTTTTTTATCATGAAGAATTTTTTATGGAACTTTTACAAAAAAAAGCTTCTTTAATGTGGGGAAAAAATAAGAATTAAAAAATGTAGTAATAAATCTTTAACAAATCTTCACTGAAAAAATTGTAGTTCTTTTAGTAAATCTTCACAGAAAAACTTTGTTTAAAAAAAATGTTAATTGAAAATAAATGATCAATAAAAGATTTTTTGGGGTACAAAATTTGTATTTTTATGGCATCACAGAAAAAATTATAATATTTTGATACTTAAATATGTAGTTGTTTTAATAAATCTTCACTGAAAAAAATTAGCTTTTATAAATCTTTACTTATTTTTTTTAGTTTTAACAAATATTCACTGAAAAAAGAAGTTTTAATAAATATTGACTGAAAAAATGTAGTTTTAATAACTCTTCACTGAAAAAATGGTTTTAATAAATCTCGACTGATTTTTTTTATATAAATCTGGACTGAAAAATGTATGTATTAATAAATCCTCACTAAAATGTAGCTTTAATATTTATTTCACTGAATAAAATATGGTTATTTTAATAAATTTTTAATGAAATATTCTTTGGGGAACAAAACTTGTATTTTCATGGCATCACAAAAAAAATCTGGTACCTTAAAATTTTGAAAAAAAATTTCTTTTGATAAATATTTACTGAAATATGTAATTCTATTAATAAATCTTCATTGAAAAAAATGTTTAGGTTCAACAAATCTTGACTGAACAAAATATAGGTTTAACAAATCTTCACTGAAAAAATGGTTTTAATAAATCTTAACAGAAAAAAATGTGGTTCTTTTAATAACTTGTAAATGAAAGGTTCTTTTAAAAAACAAATTTGTACTTTAATGGCTTGACAGAAAAAAAAACTTCGGAAAAATGTTGCTATTTTGATAAATATACACTGAAAAAGTCGTTTTAATAAACCTTTACTGAAATTTTTTTTAATAACTCTTCATTGAAAAAAAAATTGTTTTAATAAACTTTTACCATTTTTAAAATTATTATTATTATTATTATTATTAGAACCTTTATTTTACCAGGAAAAGCACTTTGAGATAATTTTTTTTAAATAAATCTTCACTGAATAAATGTAGTTTAAATAAATCTGACTTTATTTTATTTTTTTATAAATCTTGACTAAAAAAAACATGGTTCTTCTAATAACTCGTAATTAAAAGGTTCTTTGGGGAACCAAAACTGTAATTTCATGTCATCACAGACAAAAAAACGTTTTGAAAAAAAAGTGTTCTTTTAATCATTCTTCACTGACAAAAAAAATGTGGGGGTGGACTGGTGGTGCAGTGAGTAGAACTGTGACCTCACAGCAAAAAGGTTGTGGTTCGAGTGCCAGCTGGGTCAGTTGGCATTTCTGTGTGGAGTTTGCATGTTCTCCTCGTGTTGACGTGGGTTACCTACGGGTGCTCAGTTTTCTCCCACAAGTCCAAAGCCATGTGCTATAAGTGAATTGGATAAGCTACTGTAAATTATCCACAGTGTGTTTGTGTGAGAATGAGTGTGTATGGGTACTTTTATGGCAGAGTGTAAATCTGTAAATTCATTGCATCACAGAAAAAAAAGAAACTTTTAGAACTTTAACTGAGATATGAAACTTAATGAGATGTGTTATGCTATCTGCCATAAATTATTTACAAAAGTGATTTTACACTTTATTATTTATTAATAATGGGTATTTATATATCGATTATTTATTAACCTTTGTTGACATTGTTTAACAATAAAAAGAAAAATCAGCTGTTCATTGTTTCCTCAGGTTAGCTTGGGTAAATAAAATATTGAAAATAATTATCAGAAATAACTGTTTGTTTTTAATAATCCATGACTGTATAATTGGCAATAATTACCTAAGAGCAACAAAGTAAAGTTTTATTGTTGTTAGTTTACGTTAACCAATGTTCAAATATAATGAAACCTTACTGCAAATGTTTACCAAATAAACAAATACAAGTAACAGCGTTAAAAGCAAATGTTTGCATAAAGCTTCAGCTCAGTGTTTCTGTGTGGGTGTGACTTCATCGCATCGGTAGTATTCAGTTCATTCACAATTCATTCAAGACAAAGACATGCAAATATTTTGTGACCATTAAACCTTGCACACAGGAGAGTCACAGATAGCTTCCGTTAATTATTTTCCATCTTCCATCATTTTTGCATTTCTGTTTCCAACAGGAAAAATCCTCAGTTTTTTTAAATTTACCCTTCAGACAAAATCATCACTGACTGAATATACAACAATAAATAATGATATGGCATAATAATAATAATAATAATAATAATAATAATAATAATTATATATATATATATATATATATATATATATATATATATATATATATATATATATATATATATATATATATATATATATATATATATATACAGTATATATACACTATATATACTGAAGTCAGAATTTTAAGCCTCATATTTTTGTCAACACTTTTCTAAACATAATAGTTTTAACAACTCATTTCTAATAACTGATTTATTTTATCTTTGCCATGATGACAGTAAATAATATTTGACTAGATATTTTTTTAAATACTAGTATTCAGCTTAAAGTGACATTTAAAGGATTACCTAGGTTAATTATGGTACTTATTTAAACCTCAAAAGGGTTTTAAAAAATTAAAAACTGCTTTCATTTTAGCCGAAATAAAACAAACAACGAGTTTCTCCAGAAGAAAAAATATTATCAGAAATACTGTGAAATTATAGGAAATTCCTTGCTATAAATATAAAACTTCCTTCCTTATTTTACTATAAAAATGGACAAAAAATTTAAATTAAGAAGAGACTATAAAGAGACTATTTAGTCCTTATAAAAAATTGCAAACAAAACAATACAATATAAAACAATGTTTTAATCACTATATATTCTTAAATAACTTATAAAGGGCCAAAAAGCAAACTTGGTTGAGGACTGTGAGCTGAATTTTTTCCAAACCATATATATATATATATATATTAAATTTGTCATGGGCAATATACAAATTTATTTGGTAATATTTAAAAATGACTAGAAAACGTTGCTTTAAATGAAATTAACTAATGCAGTATCATTTTTAACATTTTATAATGAACTTATTACAGTAAAAATATTAACAATCTCATTTATAAGACAATGGAGTTCAGTGCTGAATACACTGTAAAACCCAACAGTCAACTTTATCAACTGAAATTAGTGTAGTTAACTCAAAATTGACTAAAAGTTAATTCAGTGTTGAAGGTAATGAGTTAATTAAATACCTCATTACCTCAACTTAAATGGAGTCAATTCACAGTACTCATATAGATTGGTTTAATTAAAATAGTTTGTAGCAATCGGTTTCCTCAAATGGTTTGAGTTGCCTTAACTTCTTGGGTTTTACAGTACTCCGTTGGTTTGAGTTCTCTTAATTTATTGGGTTTTACTGTGCTCAAACTGCTTCGTTTACTCAATTGGATTAAGTTCACAGTACTCATTATTAGTTTTTGAACTTAAATGGTTTGTTGCAATCGGTTTCCTTAAACAGTTTGAGTTACCTTAACTTATTGGGTTGTACAGTGTAGTCAAGCTGCTCCTGCCTTTGCTTGACTTGCTCGCAGATATATTGTGCATTGTCCAATATCTGTCAAGTGACAGTAACGACTTTTTAAAAATGTCTGATTCATTTACAACTTTTAATTAAATCATTTAATTTGTAGTTAGCTTCTTTTGTAGCTCAGCAATAAAATAAAGGGAAAAGGTTACGTTAAATTTGAAATGAATAATCTCTGTCAAAGGCTTTCACCCCAAACACCTCCCCATCATTCTACCTCTCTTTTCAGATGAGGGGCCAAATCAAAGGTTACCATGGGCCAACTTTGGGCCCAATTTTGGGCGTCTTTGGTCTAATGGCTGTTTTTAAATGTGCTTTATAAATAAATTAACTATCTAGAACTAAAATTAATATTTAAAGATTTTAATAAAGTGTGAAAGTGAAAAAAATATATAAAGATATACAAAATATATTAAATATGGAAATTTAATAAAAAATACTATATTTAAATCATATTTACTATACCTACAATCAAACTATAATTAAACTATATTTATTTCTTCTAAATAATTTAAGTGACCTCTATGGTGCAACAAAAACACACACAAAATAATACAAATACACAATAAACTAAATCGTATGTACAGTATAATTTAAACATCTAACCAAACTGTTTTTTCCTGGAAATCAGATGCTGATCATAATCTCTTATCGAAGATTCAGATCAGATCATCGTGTACGATCATCAGGAAAAAAAAACGACTAAATATTATAATCAACCTGACAAAAACTGTAAACCTTCTCCCCTTTTTAAAACATCACAGGAGTTTAGAAACTAACACACAGAAACTCAAAATGTCTGTAAACCTGGAGGTGTAAATAAATAAAAAACAAAGAACAGCTTTAGTAAAAACCACCTCAAGAAGCTGCACTTTTATGTGACATTAAAAACGATCTGAAGTCATACAACGAGAGACCAAAGTGAAGGTTTCGTGGGTTCGAAGGGAAGTAATTCATTGCAAATGATTCACTGTAAGGCTTTGATCTCGCTCTTATGACCCATTTTGCACTTCGATTTTAGGACACCAGTTTCATAAAACATTATGACCTAGAAAATATATGAAATTCAGCAAAACCCACACGAGAAAGCCACACAGTCTGCATATGGAAAATGAGG